AAATAGCGTAACGATAATGATTTATCCTCAAACGATTTTAAACATTTGTTGTTATTCAAAAAGTATAACTCATAGATACTTGAAAATTTTACCAGTTATTTAGATTGGCAATTTCTTTACATGATTTAATTTTCAAATTAATTATTATCTTTAAAAAATTATAAGAATACATAGGCACAATTATTTTTTATAAGCGTTTATAGTTCAAATATTGACAAAAATTCGTTAAAACCATGAATTTTTTTTTTGTATCTGTCATCACGTTTTGGGCAGTAAAAGTGCTTTGATTTTTGACTTCAGTACCTTATTCGACCAGAAAGTAAATCTAGTTGGTACTTTGGGGGTTAAAAGTAAAAAATTCTTAATATTTTTTTAAATAATCGGGATAAACAAATAATTAAGGGGAAAACGGGAAAGTTTACGCACATTCAGTTTTCGACAAAATCGATTTGGATTTTTTATGTAACTTTAAAACAAATGACCATTGATACATGAAATTTTCACCGAATGTTTATATAAGTATATTTTATCCACCATGCAATTTTCAAAAATTTTCGACTTAAGTTGAACTATTCATAGGCATATGCAATTTTCGATCATTATTAGTTTTTTTWAAATTAATATCGATAAAAATTTATTTTTTGGGTAGAAAATCTTGAAAATTTAATACAATACTCTTAACATATTTTTGCAATAGCAGTTAAAAAATAAAATAAATTCGTAGTCACAATTTTTTTTTATAAGCACTAAAATTTTGAATTTTGACAAAATACGTAAAAATCACAAGAATTCGCAAATTGTTTTAAGCTAGAAATTAATAAAAAATTTTATTTTTAAATCTAAGATACAAATTTTTCAATCTTTATCACAAAGGAAATTTGAAGCATCATTATAGGAAAAATGTTTTGAGTTATACATTTTTATGAAATCGTGTAATGATTCACCAAGGTAATTTTCAAACGAGGTATATCGGTATATGTATATCTATGATATCATAGAAGAATTATGGTATATGTATAACTACGTGCAATGTTTTTGGAAAAATTGATTAATTATGCCTTATGCAAAATGCATCTTAATTGAAAAATAAAATATTTGTTTCAAAATTGAATATATGACAATATTTAAATATAATATATCCTAGACTGACAAATCATCTCCGTTCAGAATCGTTTTTCATATACAATGATGCCTTACCTGCATTGCATTCAAATCTAACCTACCCTAGTCAGAGGTCCACCCCACCACCTAATGTACAGAGTGATATCTACCCACTTTCCMGCTTTTTGTTTTATTGGTTGACGGTTTTTAAGACCAAAGGTAAATGTAGGTAATAAACGTTGATTTTTATTCTCTATTTGTAGAACCAGTGTTGTAGAATTACTAGATGTTCCTGGAGGTGATTTGTAGCAGCTTTTAGACATTTTTGTTGAAAGACAGAATAGCTGTATCGTCGGCAAAGGTAGCTAGAGTAGAATTATTTGAGTGTGGTATACCGGAGGTAAAAAGATTATATAGCGTAGGAGTGAGAATGCTACCTTGGGGAACCACAGCATTTATAGGGTGAGTTGACGAAAGTTCGTCTTCACAACGAACTTGGAATGATCAGTTTGAGAGAAAGGATTTTATGGTATGAAAAATAGTGCGGAAAGAAAATGAATTTTGTATAGCAGACCCTTATGGCCTTATCCCAGACCCGATACCTATACTTGTATACATTATTATTTATTGAATATTCGAATGGAGTTTTTTTATATACCATAAACATACAACTAGTTATAAAAATATTTTGATTTGATTGAGCGAGTAAGTACTGTAAATTGAAGTTATATTTTTGGGTACTACCTCTTTGTATAACTAAACCAGTTTTGTAAAATATCCTGATTCCCAGTGCATTTAAATACTACTATTCATCATGTATAGATTTTAAAAAGTACTATCAATATAAATATATAATCAATCATATTATCACCATTTTTAATACTTAAAAAATACAAATTATTCAAAAAACCAGGTTTGTGTTGTTTTTAAATTTTTTAGTTATAGCATAAATTATTTATGATAAATAATAATGCTTGTTTTAAGTTTTTAATCTCATATTATGAAAATTAAATATTTTATAAATTTTTGACTACAAACTAATTTTAAAACTATGAGATTTAGATGAATTTCATTTATAGTTGAACTTAAAATACCTGCTTATAATTTTCTTTATTGTTATTATTAAAAACTTCTGGTGAACTTTTGTTAAATTTCAAGCATTTCGACTCACTGAAAAAAGTTTTATTGATATTTATAGAAATAAAAGCGGAAAAGTGGATATCGCTGTGCTATACCTACAGTAGGTTACTGTAATGGATGGTATTAAATTTGAATCCAATGATATTTTTATCATTGTATACGAAAAACGATTCTGAGCGGAGACGATTTATCTTTATCTGTCTAGGATATATTATGGATTATTATTACTTATTAAAATATTTGACTTTCCGGAGGACAATTTTTTTTTTTGATAAATATCGACAAACTTATGAGAAGCCTTGTATTAATTTTTCAAAACTTAGGTTTAAAAAGAAAATTTGTTATGAATTTTTAAATCATAAAAATTATTGTGGACTTACACTAAACTTTTTTTAATTTCCACCTGTAACAACTTGAGAGGAACATATAACATATTACATTTTCAAGTTTTTTGATCAAGGGAACATTTTGTTTCGACATTAATTTAAAGAAACTGATAACAATTGATTTCATATACCTATAAATAGTTCAATGAGTCAAAATATTTAAAAATTTATAGTGTATCAACAATGCTATAAGAGTATAAACATTCAGTGAAAATTCATGTATCTATTATATTTGTTCAAGAATTTTAAATTGACTTACCAAATGTACCAACTATATTTACTTTCCAACCGATAAAGGTATTGAAGTTTAAATTATTAAATTATTTATTGTTGATTTATTTCAACTACTTATAATTTTTTTTTTTTCATATTTTTGTATCGAAACGACCCCAAGGTCTTCATCGACGTCTTTTCACTTTGGGAGGGGTAGAAGTGCATGTAGCTCTTGTAACTTTATCAGTACTATAAGAATAAGATTTATCTTATCTAAGAGGTTATGCAACACTGTATCCAAATCTGAAATTCAAAATTTTCATAATCTACTTCATATAGTTTTAGTCTTTAGAACTACCTGTAGTCAGACCTCTTCATAAAAAAGAGGCCACCTCCAACCACCAACTCAGATTATAAATAATATAWTTTTATTAAATTCTTATTTAGGTTAGGTTAGGTTAGGTTATGTTTTTACACAATTTACCTTTATATAAGACAAATAATTCACAATAATGTTTACTAATAATAATACATTTTTTGTAGTTGAACAATATTAATACATTTTGTTGTACAAGTTTCTTAATATCTATAGTATTGAATGATGTAATAACTATTATGTCTGCACTATTTATTTCTATTAATAGAAAGTCCTCTTTCCTTAGGTGGTTTCCCTGAATTTTCATTTAACTGGCTAGTAATACCTCTGCCATGACTTGTATTCTTACCCCAGCTATTTATTACAGATACAGGAGGATTATTTTGAACATTTTTTGAAATAGTAAGTGGAGGAAAGTTGTCCTCTTTACTTGCTGTCGTTTTGATATTTGCCTTATGTACTGGCTTATTCCATGTTGGTGTTGGAGCAAAAGTTGATATTTTAGATTCAAGTGCCGGAAAACTATTGGGCGCTAAAGTTTTTGATACATTTATTTTACTATCATCAAAATTTAAAGCAAATTTGGAAATTTTAATTTTATCGAATTGTTCTTCGACTGGAATTTCTGTTTTAGATAAATCAAAATCAWAATGATAACCAGATTCAAGTTTAATATCAAAATAGCGACAACAATGGGCTGATAAAATATTAATCCACTTACATACAAAATAGTTACTACAAATATAAGTGTGTTCAAGTTTTTCATGAAAATTACAACCAACTGTTATGATTGTAGTTAACACATCTTTTGACAAACTATCAGTGGCCATAGCAACAGAAGGTAAAGCTAAATCTTCTGTACCTGGATGTTTAACTTTATGACATGCATTTTTCAGATTCATAAATAGTTTATCTAAATGGTAAACTCTTAAAATATTATTAAAATCAGTTCTTTCAGCATTCTTCACTGCACTTTCAAATAACTTAAATAAACTTGCACTAGTAATCATTAGTTCATTTTCAATAGGTGTATGTGCAGTATAGACTGGTGGCATGTCTAATGATAAGTCATTTAGAACAGCTTCATCAACTTCTTTGTTCATGATGAAACCTAAATAATCACCATATATTATGTTAGTTTGAAAAAAAATATTAAATTAAATTATTTTTATTGTTTATACTTACTAATCACTTTTAAGAATATTTCTGAATAATTATTGGGAAACTTTGAGAATGTGTTAATTTTATGATTGTTAGCAGCATGATTGTTAATATCTGCCGTAGGAGCATATGGAGCATTTGTTCTGACTTGATCAAATCCAATTAACTGATGAAACATGCGTATCAAGCCTTTTTCTAAAGAAAACTCGGCCATTGATATCTCAGCAGGGAAATAAAATCCTTCTTTCTCGCATGTATAAGAGTTTATATGAATCAAAATGAACTTTTGCTTGGGAAGATAATAGGTGGCTGGTTGCATGTCAAGCAATACATCTATATATGAGTACATAACATTGGTTTGTGATCTACTATCATCTGATTGTTTTTGAACGTCATCTATTTTTTCACCAATTGAAGTGTATTTGCCTACATTTGAATCAGATTTCATCTGCTTGCCTTTTAACTTATACTTTTCTTTCATCTCATCAGACATATTTTCCCAATCTTTTTTGCAATACTCTGACATATCAGCCATGCTTACTTTAGTCCCTTGACTTATTAATTTCTGCCGAGTCTCCATCATAAATACAGCATAGCCATTGTAAGCTTTCTTTTTAGGAGCCATTTCTAAGACAAAAACAAATATAAATTAGAAGGTAATTAATCAATTGCATGTTCAGAATTGTATAGTTAATTGTATCTTTGTATTTAATTAAAAACATATAAATATATGGTATTTTATAATATGTTACTTTTCATATTTTTTAATTATAATATATTATTCTGTACAGAAATTTTTTGCTTAAATACAAAAAATCTAAATCAATTATAAATATACATTTATTTTTTTCAAAAAGAGTAGAAAATTTTATTTATGGAAATAATTTTTTACATAATATTGGGTCAATCAAAAACGACTAATAAAAACTACTTTTTAATAATGTTTAAAAATCTTCATAATTATGACTTTTTAAGGGTCTCATTTTTTAATCACATTATAAATTTTAGATTCTGAGCAGAGCAATGTATTGTATAATCTTACATGGTTTGTTTTACTGTATTGTAAGCATATAAAATTTGTAGTAGAATTTTATAATTAATTAACATAAAAATTTGTCTTCAAATTTGAGTAGGTCTCTGATAAAGAGATAACAAATTGGTTCTAGATTTATTATTTCCAGTACTGTTCATAATAATTGGGGAAAAAAATTTGTTTTCCTTATTTTGCTATAGGCAATTAAAAAAAAAAAATAGATATTTGAAATTTTCTCAAAATGTTTATGTAAGCATTTTTTATAGAAAGTATATATATTTTTAATATTGATGTTTGAATTTTTTATGCTTAGTCAAAAAGATTGAACATTTTATACAAACCACTTCATAAGTTATTTACGAGGGGTAAACACATTGGGGGTAATCAGTGTACAAGGTGATGGTAATCATGGGTATATTCATGGATAATCATTGGTAATTATAGTGCTATGGACTAGCATCCCGCATTGTCTAGTTCACGGTCAACTAGGTACCAGCCGAACCAAGATAGGGTAGGTTGCGACCAACTTTGTAAATTATAAGAGAGAAAGCATTTCGTGGAAATCATTAACGTTAGGGCAACACGAAATCATGTGGTTAGACGACTATGAAAGATCGTTGATAGGTGTGCACAGGATGTG